GCCCCCCGCCGGTCCAAGTCGAATGGACCGACGAAATGGGGGTCACGGAGGAGGAGCTGGCCGGGGCAATCAAACGTTTGGCGGCCCGGAACACCGCTCCGGGCCCGGACAGCATCCCCGGCCGAGCCTGGGTATTGGCCCTGCGTGTTTTTGGACCGCGATTGACGCGCCTCTTCAGCGTCTGTCTGAAGGAGGGGACATTCCCTAGGGAGTGGAAGGTGGGACGACTGGTCCTGCTGAAGAAGGAAGGACGGCCCGCAGAGAGCCCCTCTGCGTACCGGCCCATTGTTTTGCTGGACGAGGTCGGGAAGCTGTTTGAAGCGGTGATAGCTGACCGCCTCGCCCGGCACCTATTCCTGGTGGGCCCTGATCTGGCCGAGTCGCAGTTTGGCTTCAGACAGGGGCGCAGCACCATCGATGCAATTCACTCGCTGCGCTCCTGTTGCGACTCGGCCACGTCCGGGGGCGGGGTGGGGATGGGCGTTTCACTAGACATAGTGAACGCCTTTAACACCCTGCCCCACGGGACGATAATGGGGGCGCTAAACGATCACGAAGCGCCCCCATACCTAACGAGGATCATAGTGCACTACCTATGGGATAGGTACATTATGTATGTGGGCCGGGACGAACGCATATACACGAGGGGCGTCGAGAGGGGTGTACCCCAGGCGTCCCGTTTGGGACCGCCGCTGTGGATCCTGGGGTACAACAAGACTCTGTGGGTCGCCGTCCCGGACGGGGTAAGTGTGCGGTGTTACTGTGACGACACCCACATCTTTGCCACCGACCGGGACTGGAGCAGGACCAGTCGTCTTATGGGGATAGGGGTGGCTGCCGTCGCAGCGACCATCCGGAGGCTGGGCCTTCAGTTAGCACCCCACAAAACCGAGGCGATGTGGCATTACTCGCCTCGGCGTGGGGTCGCGCCGCCGCCCCAGTCTTGGATCCGGGTAGGTGACACAAGAGTCCAGGTGGGCAAGGGCTTCAAGTACTTGGGCCTCCACCTGGACAGCCACTGGTGCTTCGAGGATCATTTCGACCGTCTGGCCCCCCGATTGGAAAGGGCAACAAACGCCCTCGGGCAGATATTACCCAACATCGGGGGGCCTAGCGAGAAGATTCGCCGCCTTTACACGGGGATCGTGCGGAGTATGGCCCTTTATGGGTCGCCGATATGGGCCCAGGCCGTGATGGCGTCCCGTCGCAGCCAAGCTGTGCTGCGGCGGGTAGAGAGGACGATGGCCATCAGGGTCGTGAGGGGGTACCGCACGGTCTCCCACGCGGCGGCGATGGCTCTGGCGGGTGTCGTGCCTTTTAAGCACGAGGCGGAGGCCGGCGCCACGTTGTATTGGCGCTTGCGCGACCACCGCCAGACGGGCGAGGCACCGCCAGAGCCGACGGTCGAGCAGGAGTGAAGGCACCAGGCCCGGCAAAATGCCCTGGACCGGTGGCGCCGCGAGCTCATCCAGAGCGGCGCAGCCGGCCGGCGAGCGGTCGGGGCGGTCCTGTCGGTTATCAACGAATGGCGGGACCACGGCTTCGGAAGGGTCACCTACCGGACCACGCAGGTACTCACCGGGCACGGCTGCTTCGGTGACTACCTGTGCCCGATAGGTCGCGAGCCGACGGCGATATGCCACCATTGCGGGGCGGGGCGGGACTCCGCGCAGCACACACTGCAGTATTGCCCAGTGTTTGCGCGGGCCCGTCACGCCCTGGAGTGCGAGGTGGGCCCTGATCTCTCGCCGGAGGCTGTAGTGAGAGCCATGCTTTCCGGCGAGGATCAGTGGCGGGCGATGACCTCATTCTGTGAGGAGGTCATCGCCCTTAAGGAGGAAGCGGAGCGGGGTCGGGAGAGAGCTGACCCCGCCCGCAGGAGGACGCGCCGTCGGGGTAGGCCTCCTGACGGCACCAACAGCAGCTGAGGCGGACGGGGCGGTCGGCCGTGAAGCTATTACATACCAGGCCCACCGCCCCCACCGGTAGAAGAGGATGGGGGAGCATCGGCTCCCCCGAAGAGGACTAGGGGGAGGCGCCAGCCTTCCCCAGAAGAGGAGGAGACGGGGAGAGGGCAAATCCCTCTCCCCATCAAAGGATATGGCGGCCCCGCAAGCATGGCGCGGGGCCGCCGGGCCGCAGGCGGCCGGGGCTGGGGCCCCGGTCGTCATTGCACGCGGCCCGAGGAGTAGCCGGCGTCGGGTGTGGCCCCCGACGTCGGCGGAGTTGGCACGTATGGGGGAGGGTCAAAGGTTAGACCCTCCCCCGAGATGGGGCGCAGTCGCGCCAAGGGTGGGGGGGTCCCGGAGTGTTCGTAAGAGGTCCCGGGCCCCTCCCTGCAGCCCAGTGCAGGTCACCGTGGAGGTTTTAGTGGGTAGAAATCCCACACTACCTCCTGCCCCTTCCCAGGGGGGGGGGAGGTGTCTTAGGAAGATTTCCTCCATGTATAAAAAAAAAAAAAAGGTTTAGGTTAGACGTAAGGCGCCTGGTGGGTGTAGTCGCTAACCCGCTCAGGGTAGCTTTTTCGTCCCTAATTCAACATTCCTTACGCCGACAACGGGTCAGGTGTTGGGTTTTCCTTACCCGAGAACAATAATTGGCACGCCCGTAAAGATAATACTTTACGACTCCTACGACTTTTGTTTTAGTCATTTTCCGTGGAAATGCGTTCTTATCGAGATAATAGGGGGTCCCACACTTTTAGAATACCCTGTATATCTCGAGAACGGTTTATTTGCCAGTTCTGAAAATGGTCTCATTCGATTTCTCGTCCCTCAATTACTATAAATTCGAAGTTTGGTTGTCCTGGGGTGGGGGGCCTTTCGAAAGTTTCCCCTATTAACAATAAAAAGTTACATAAATTTTTGCAAATGTGATCATCGTGGAAAGATCTACGAAATGTGAAATGTTTTATCGCAATCGGTGCATTCTTTGCAGAGTAGCGCTAAAAAATAGGATTTTGCAATAACAATTGTTATTATAGATATACGTATACTGATTTTCGGTTGACGCGATATGTGTATAGAAACAGTAGAAAATCAGCGACTGCCACTGATCTATATAACTGGATACGGCATGACGCTCTACGCCTGCGATTTTTCAAATTCGCCATGTTTGAGAATTGACCACTTCTCCCCCTGGCGAAAGGCACCAAACTAAGCTGTTCCACACACTGCAATGTCTACTGTATTATATTATATACAATATATATTTTTTATTAATTAATTAGTTCAGTTTACAAATACAAACTTGCACGTATCTAAAGAATATGTACAAAACATACAAAGAAATACAACTAAAAGTATATGTAGATAAAATATTACACAAATACAATATGTAAGTTACTTATTAATTGGATTCGTTCAAAAATTAAATTTTACATTCAGTTACATAAGTTTAATATTCGGACACTGCAGATACATGACAATCGAAAACGGTGGCGATTTTGAAAAATCGCAGAGTACGGCTATGCTGAGACGTCGTATACCGTATCCAGTTATACAGATCAGTGGCGACTGCATGCTGACCCATACACCGCCAGAGACACGTAGGCATATGTAGAATTCAATGTAGGAGTAACAATAGGTTTTCACGAATATCTCGGAAACTAAAGCTTTCCGTTAATTATGCATAATGAAAAAGTTGTTCAGAATCATGCACCCGACAACATATTATAGGGTCATTGAAATCATCCAATGTTGAGATTAGAAACTTCCTGTTTTTTACAATAATAATCCTTAGAAAAAATGAAAAATGTTTTTTTACAGGACCAATCGGGAAACATACTCTACATATTGGTCCATCCATCACGAAGTACTAACAATCAGTGAACAAACTGAAAAAAAAACACAAAAAACATATATACTGATCGAATTGAGTAACCTCCTCCTTTTTCGAAGTCGGTTAAAAACTGAACCTAACTTACAGACACACGTTTCCCAACACCTTCTCTTAACACGTTGACTACCATATCGCCCATATTTGGACGACGTTTAAATTTTCATCATCTATATCATTAAAGATTTGTTACTTGCTTAATTACAGATACCTTTGTTAGATATTGAAATATGGAAATTAGAAGTGTAAAGCAGAAATGGTTAAATCAATTCACTCACAAATTATTGGTGAAGAGCAGTAAGTAAGTACGAATACTAAGTCAGTACAAAGTACATCAGTAGCTTGCAATACTTTTGACCTTCGGCAAAGAACATCTGATCTACGAATCCGCAAGACTGCCACCTTACATGCTGCCATAACAACAAAAAGGATGTTGGTGCAACAGTAAGCGCAATACTGGGATCAGTATTTCCATTAGTCTCGTAACTTCGAAATAGCCTCAGCTGATGCTAATTACACAGCTACTCACGCTTATAAGCGTCAGTAGCCCAGAAGTAACCAATACTCATGCTGTTCAGCCAGTTGAAACAACGCGATTTTCCTTTGAACCTCGTCAACTTTGTTTGTCGTAAGCCAAACCCCTGAGAACATTAAGAAAAACTTGGCTAAAATAATCAAAAGGTCATTGTACACCCTGTTGTCCATGATGGTCCTTAAACAACTGATTTCTTAACTCCCCACATAGAACGCCGTACCCGGATAGACTTTTTAAGGCGTCATCAGCAAGTATACTGACATGACACGGCAATAATTTAGTAGGGACTTTGATTAACACCACAAACGGCATTTCTCTTGCTATTAGCACATAGAACGGCGGATTACAAGTCCACAAACAGTTATATACAGGGTGTCCCAAAAAGAGTGTTAGTCCTTTAAGGGTGTTTGATCGTTTTCGCCCCTTAACCGGGAAAGGGGTTAGAGAACGGTTTCGGACGCAATTTTTTGCCGGTGCGCGACCTTGCCGAAGCGATGACTTCCAATTTGCAGAACGCGTCTATACGGAAAAGGTGCGAATTGTGACTACGGAGGATCTTTGATTCGGAGAATTGTATGTGAATAAAGTTTAATCAAAAGAAAAGTTTAACAGTTCTTGTTATCCGAAGCAGGTTGTTCGATTTCCGAAGAATTGGTACGCGAAGCCGTGTACGAAGAAGCATATTCGCAAGTATGCGGCGGCATATTTATATTATGGTTCCCTCGTCCCCGCCGTCGCCCGCCGGTCTAGCAGCCCAGTCGGCTCGCTACGTCGGCCAACGGAGCGAGTGAGATGGCTGAAGGCCGGCGGAACGAACAGCAGAGACGAAGGAAGCGATCTAGTTCCTAGAAATTTCTAGTTTAATCGTTCGAAGCTCGAACATACCGCCCGCCTTCTTTGGATGGCAAAGAAGCACGCATGCATCAAACAAATCTATCCATAAAGCTAACCTTAATGTGAACAGTAAAGTTACGTGCATCAAACCGTTGGACACAGTGCTAGGTGCATAAAAATAAAAGGACTTACAACTAACATAATACAAAGGTAAGTAATTACACTACAATAAAGTAATTATACTAAAGAACATAATAAGTAACCACGAAATTTAAAGGTACAAAGAAGAGATATAAGTGATTGAATCGATTACGGCGGCAAACCGCCCGCCATGACCTATATAAGTTTTCCAACGCGTGAAACGGAAAATTACGTGGAAGCAGATGAAGTGACGTCAGCAGAGGGCATCGGGAGGGGGCACAACTTGATTATTGGTCTGGTGACGGAACCGCTAGTGGTTCTCAAGGTGGCTACTCTCACTCGTCCATCTGGCCCTGGATGAAGGGCTTCAACCCAGCCCATCGGCCATTTTGCCGGTGGTTGCAACTCGTCGCGTAGTAATACTAGTGTTTCCTTCTGCTGACGCCACTTGGGAAGTTGCTGAAGGTGTTGCAGATATTCCCGCCTCCACCTGTGCCAAAAGTGAGAACGTAATGCAGATATTTGTCGCCAGCGCGAAATAAGAGAAATATCACGCGATTCGGATTCTGGATCCGGAACGATACAAATGGGTTCACCGATTAAAAAGTGTCCGGGTGTTAATGCCGACAGATCCGAGGGGTCGTCGGAAAGTGGATGTAGCGGTCGTGAATTTACGCAAGCTTCCACCTGGCACAGAAGCGTCATCATCTCCTCGAAGGTAAGCGTGGCGTTTTCGACGATTCTTCGTAAGTGATGCTTGACCGTTCTAACTCCTGCCTCCCATAGGCCCCCGAAGTGCGGAGCGTACGGAGGGATGAAGCTCCAATCCGTGCCTTCGGGTGCCAACGAAGCTGCGGCGTCTAGGTAGAAGGCGGAGGCGCCGCGGAACATGTTGCGCAACTCCCGGTCCGCTCCGTGGAAGACGGTCCCATTATCGCTCTACATCGTGGCGCAGCGGCCTCGTCGGCTGATGAACCTGCGAAAAGCGGCTAGGAATGAGGCAGAGGTAAGGTCTGAGACAGCTTCCAGATGAATCGCGCGAGTACTAAGGCAAATGAACAGCGCTATATATCCCTTGTAGGATTTGTGTCCTCTTCCTGGTGATGTTCGCAGCTTCACCGGTCCTGCATAGTCCACTCCCGTAGAAAGGAAGGGTCGCCGAGAAGTGATGCGCTCGAGCGGTAAGGGGTCCATCAACTGCGTGGTCAGCCTTCCACTGTAGCGAGCACATTTTACGCACCCCTTAATGACGTCTCGCACTAGAGAGCGGCCATGGATGATCCAGTAGCGTCGCGCCAGCAGGCTCCTGGTGAGTTGCGGTCCTCCGTGTAAAGTACGGAGATGGGCATCTCGCACCAAAAGAGTAGCCAACGGATTTTTCTTCCCGATGATGTAAGGCTGCCTCTCGTTGTAGGGATGAGAGGCTTGGTCGAGGCGGCGTCCGACGCGTAGCAGCCCTTGGTCATCCAAGAAGGGTCTCAAGGCGATGAGGGTCGAGGATCGCCGTACCTCTTTGTGCTGCCGGAGCTGGTCGACCTCTGTGTGGAAGTTGGACTTCTGAGCTAGGCCGATAGCGATCCGTAGAGCAGTGTCTCGCTCCGAAGCCCGGATAAACCCGGTTTCGGTGGTCAGCTTCCTGGTAAGTCGATGAAATCTAAAGCAGAGAGCAATCACGGCAGTTAGGCGTGTCAAGCTTGAAAACCTTGATAAGAGGTCATTCTCCTCGTTTTCTTTTGCTAGGTAGATTTGTACTCGGCCCCGCTCCAAGTCCGCCTCCTCGACCTTTCCTAGTGGTGATGCAGGCCACAGATCTGGGAGATGAGCCAGGAGGGTCCCCTCCACCAAAGCTGCGACGACAGGAGCTCCGACGGCGTTATCTCTCTTGTTGCCAAGTCCGCAGGGTTGTGTTTGGTTGCCACGTGTCTCCAATTTTGAGGCGGAACATTGGACTGCACGGTGGCTACTCTGTGGGCAACAAACGGCTTCCAGGTTAAGGCATGCCCTCGGATCCAGTGGAGGGTAACGCTGGAGTCCGTCCAAGCTGTGATGGTTGCTGGTACGTTCAATCCTTTTTGTACTTCCGCAATTAATTTGGAAAGTAGCACCGCGCCGCATAATTCCAGACGTGGTATACTAACTGCTTTGACCGGTGCGACCTTGGTTTTTGCCACAAGCAGTGTGGCCACGCTGGCTTCTCCCCTGGACACTCGCAGGTAGACGACGGCTGCATAGGCTCGTTGGGAGACGTCGCAGAACCCGTGCAGATCGAATTGCGCCCTGTCTGCTGAGTAGTTCGTCCAGCGAGGAATGGCCAAAGCGTCGAGTTGGCTCAGCGTTTTCCGGAAGGTTTTCCATGCGGAAAGCAGTTGCTCAGGTAAGTCCTCATCCCATTCTGCGCCAATTATCCAGAGGTCCTGCATGAGAATCTTTGCGAAAATTAAAACAGGGGCCGCCCATCCCAAGGGGTCGAAGAGACTGGCTACTTCCGAGAGGATACGCCTTTTAGTGTATCGCGTGGGCTCGTTGAGGGGTGGAAGGACACGCAAGGAGAAGGTGTCCGTGGTTGGCCTCCAGACGACTCCCAAGGTACTGACTCCAGTGTGGTCCTGGAACACGCAGGCTTGACCTTCTTCCGCTTCCTACTCAGATCGAAGCCTCCCGATTGCAGGATGGAGATGACCTGTCGTCGTAATTCCAGAGCTGCTTCCTCGTCATCGGCTCCGGCAAGGATGTCATCCACATACGAATGCCGACGAATTGCGACCGCTCCCAGCGGGAAACGCTCCTCCTCGTCTGCAGCAAGTTGGACCAACACCCGCAGCGCAAGGAACGGCGCACAGGCTGTGCCATAGGTGACAGTCTTTAGCCTGAAATCCTGTACAGGTTCATCGGGTCTGGAGCGCCAAAGTATCCTGCTCCAGTCCGCGTCCGCCGGGTCTACTCGAATCTGCCGAAACATTTTAACAATATCCGAGGTAAATACTACTCGAAATAGGCGCCATCGTGTTAGAATCATCCAGAGGTCTGACTGCAGTTTCGGTCCAGGCAGCAGACAGTCGTTGAGAGAGGATCCCGTGGCGGTGCGAAAGGAGGCATTGAAGACGACCCTGATTTTGCCGGTAGGGTCGTATCGCTTCGCCACAGCATGGTGCGGTAGATAGTAGGCTGGATCCTGAACCGCAGATTCCGGTACCGCCTCCATGTGACCCAAGGCTGCGTACTTGTCCATGAACTGCGAGTACTTGTCTCGCCAGGCTTCGTTGGACGCCAACTTGCGCTCACAGCTAAGCAGCAGCTTTAGCGCCGTCGATCTGCTGGGCTTCAGGACGAGGCTTGGATCCAATTTGAAAGGTAGGTGCACCGAGTAGCGGCCTGTTTCGTCCCGATAGTGCGTCTTTCGAAAGTGCCGCTCACATTCTCGGTCCTCCGGTGATAACGGGGGCTGTTCATGTAGCTCTTCGAGCTCCCAAAAGCGTCGAAGCAGCCTATTCGTTGAGTCGTCCGTTTGGCAATGAAGGCTGTGGACGACTGCCTTGCTGCTAGTTCTTTTGGCATCGGAGACAGGGCCCATCAACACCCACCCAAGAGGCGTGCGCCGCGCCGTTGGGGTACCAATCGGTCCAACCCTCGACTCGTCCTGTAACAAAACTCCACAAATATCAGCTCCTAGGATCAAGTCAACACGAGAGGGTACTCCATATTCAGGATCAGCAAGAATCACTCCTTGAAGGTGCGGCCAAGACTGTGGTTGCACTGCTCGAGCGGGGAGCAACGTAGTCAGTTTCCGCAGCACCAACGCACGAACCGACAAATGAAAGCTGGGGTCCAGACGAGAGCATAAAGAAAGAGAAACCTCGCTTTTCGCCAGTCCACTCTCATTCTCCTGTACTCCTGAGATGGCGACGCTGACCGCCCGCCGTGGCAAACGGAGTGCTTGAACTACCCAACCAGATACCAGCGACGTGTCCGAACCGGTGTCTAGCAAGGCTCTGACTTCGAGGTGTTCCCCTGATGGTGCCTCCACCCTCACCTTGGCCGTTGCTAAGAGTGCGGCGGGTCGAGTGATAGCTGAACAGGCGAAGGAGGCAGCCACGTTTTTTTCTTTTGTGTCGGAAGAAGCCGCTAGCGGTGGAGATGTTGAAGCCTCTCCTTTGGTCGTGGGTGTACTCTTTGCGGGTACAGGACGCAAGGGGTTAGAGAACGGATTCGGACGCAATTTTTTGCCGGTGCGCGACCTTGCCGAAGCGATGACTTCCAATTTGCGGAACGCGTATAGAAAAAGGTGCGAATTGTGACTACGAAGGATCTTTGATTCGGAGAATTCTATGTGAATAAAGTTTAATCAAAAGAAAAGTTTAACAGTTCTTGTTATCCGAAGCAGGTTGTTCGATTTCCGAAGAACTGGTACGCTAAGCCGTGTACGAAGAAGCATTTCGCAAGTATGCGGCGGCATATTTATATTATGGTTCCCTCGTCCCCGCCGTCGCCCGCCGGTCTAGCAGCCCAGTCGGCTCGCTACGTCGGCCAACGGAGCGAGTGAGATGGCTGGAGGCCGGCGGAACGAACAGCAGAGACGAAGGAAGCGATCTAGTTTCTAGAAATTTCTAATTTAATCGTACGAAGCTCGAACAAAGGGGGTGGTAGCTGGGGTGATTCTGAACAACATTTTCCTTTGCGAAAATGTTGTTTGAAGCTTCGTTTTTGAATTATTAAGGAAAAACACTGGTCAATCAGAGCGCGTATAGCGCGCGGGCTCAGGAGTGGCAGCCTAGACTACGAAAACTGGGCTTCACCTGACAAGTAACACTAGGGAATTGTCATACGGCGATTTTTCTGAAACTTGGCATACAAGTAGTACATGGAAAACTATTGGACACGTATATTGTTATATCGGCCCGAAAGCCGTTTGAAGGGTAGAAATCACCTTTATCGATTTTGGGGATAGGTACGACTATTTTACGAATTATTTTTACAATTGTTGTGAAATCAGGTAAGTAAGGGTTTTTGGGGTTGCTGATAACGAATCTATAGTCTGTTTGTAAGAATTCAAAATGGCAGATTCAATATGGCGGTCGCATTTTTTCAAAAGTTTTATACACTGTCAAAAAGTGCGAAAATTGCAAAAAAGTAAGAAATCGGCATAGCTTTGAGACGAATTTGAGACGAATCGGGGTGCTTTTCGACTTACACTTTAAATTTAGTGCAGTAATGTGGAGAGTTAACGTTTGTTACGGCAAAGAAGTGCTGCATGCACATCGATGTCATACACCAAGCACATTTAATTATTGCAATATCATTGCAGAGTTCATATGTGCCATTGCAGTTTTTCAAACAGAAATCTGCAGGGGCTTCGCATTTGTCAGGTTTTTCTGCAATATAGCCACACTTCCACCAAGCGTATCGAAATATATTCTTAAATCTGGGCGAGGAAAACTGGTTATGTATTAAAGACTGTGTTTTGAGGATGTTATTCCTTAAATATAAATTACATTAGTAATTTATCTGCGAAAATCGACCTATCCCCAAAATCGATAAGGGTGATTTCTACCCTTAAAACGACTTTCGGGCCAATATAACATTATACGTATCCAATAGTTTTCCATGTACTACTTGCATGCCAAGTTTCAGGAAAATCGCCGTATGACACTTCCCTAGTGTTACTTGTGAGTCCCGAACGAACAGTTTCGGCACCCTGCCGGTATAGCAAGAGACGTTGGAAAAATAAATGAATCGAACTAATTGAATTTTTATTGTAGCTAACTAGTTTGTTTTTTATTTGTTACTTAAAATGAATACACAACTTAATCTCTTGTTGTCTGTCATAAAAACGTAGAAAATGAAATTCTAAGCAACAAATAAAAATGATTGAAATGGAATAATTAATAAACGTTTGAATTGAAGGGAACGTTAATCATGAAAAGTTTGCGAAAAAATTGAAAGGAAACTTACCCATTCATTCCTAAATTAACCTACTATGCTGAAAGCAGGATATAACATCAGTTCAATTTATTTATTTTTTCAACGACTCCTGTTATACCAGCAGGATACCGAGTGTTCGTTCGGGACCTAGGCCAAGCCCATTTTTCGTAGCCGACGTTTGGATTGGCCAGTATTTTACCTTAATAATTCCAAAACAAAGCTTCAAACAACATTTTGCCAAAGGAAAATCATCCCAGCTACCACCCTTTCAAGGGATTAACGGTAGTTCTGGGACACCCTGTACATAGGCTTCAGTGGACATATAGCGGTCTTTTTACCAACGTTCTGGATGAATAATAAATTACTAAATCATTCGTACCTGGCATAACGAAGGTGATACAAAAGTTTATATATTTCTTTTTAACGAAAATTGAAATTTATTGTACCTGGAAGGCGAATAATAGTTCGAAGTAAGGTGATTCAGATGCAGGCCGATCAGTCCATATCACTACTGGAAGTACTCTGTTTGATTTATTTCTTCCAATATTTGCTACATAACATACAAACAACGACTTGTGTTAAGCACAACATTACTTGCTATGTAAATTGCAGATTACAATTCGATGATAATAGTAGCACATTCACTGCACCTAGGAACGATACGGGGAAGATCGAACAGTTAATTAAGCAAGAATCGAAAACAATACCTATTATTGTCGTACACCTCAAGTGTACACGTTCTTGCACCTGATCAGTGCTTCGTAACGCATCAAAGTGTCCAGTCTAAAAAGCAATCGCACACCAAAGGTGATAGTAATTAAAGTGATGGCAAAGTGCAAGCATAAACTAGCATAAAGGAAGCTGGAACGTGACTTATTTTTCTATACCTGGGTAGAAAAAAAATTTTTTTTGTATTCCTTGCAACGTGCACATTCTATATTTTACTGTACATAAAAATGGAGAACATATATAGTGCATAACAACTTTCGTACATTAAAAAATATTCTCAAATTATCTTCCTACACTTTTATATATTTCTAGCGTCGCTGTTAATACATATTAATCTGTTTTGTGTACTAATCGTCATCGTGTCTCATGAAAGCCTCCCTCATCAGGGTAAAATAGGAAAATGTAGAACTTAAAAGCTGTGAACAGAAAGTTCCAATTTTGTTAATTCTGTCCAAGCGATTCAGAAGTAGTACCATTCACAAAGCTAAATAGAGGAATGAAGACAAGTTTCCTACCGTGGTAAAAGTCTCCAAAGACACAGGAAAAAATCCACCAGCAGTCAGACAGCATGGTTTCTCCGATCTTATCATAACGAATTTTAAATCCGATCGTAACGATATGCCAGCTTTGTTCATTGGCAAAGTGCTCCACGAACCTAAATATACCGTTGTATTAATGTTGGTGCTTTCTTCCATCATAAGGTGGCAAGTGTACGTGAGGACACAAAGGTGAATTAGGCTGCCAGCTACGTGGAATATGAACATCAGACGCATAGAAGGAGTTGCATCTGCCTATACATATATTCGACAGTATATTTCTATAGTGTCAACAATAACAAATTACTGTAAAGCTTAAAAGCAAACCATAAAGAACGTTCATAGATATTTGATAGTACCCCATCCTCCTCTAAAGACGAACGTCCATTATGGAGAGCCTTGTAAAGCTTAATACGTACCACGAGTATTTCGTAGCAATCCAAACCCATTAACAGGCTTAAAAATACCATGTGCGTAAAGATCGACATGGTGTATATTTGTTCGATCTTATCGCAGAACTCAATAAACAATTGATGATATCGTATACACTTCTTCAGAGCTGCATAACAATAATCGGCGTACATAACTTCGTCTATTTCTTTGCCTTTAACGTTCCAGAAATTCAACATTCTGTATTGTAGTATACGAAATTGACCCATCACGTGCAGATTAAAGAGGCATAAAAACATTTCAGGGCAAACATACGCGACGCCAATTAAGTATAAGCATATCACCTGAACGAATACTTTATTAAATCAATGGTATAGTAGCCGCAGAAATATAGAGTGATCATTAAGTGTTTAAGCCTACACAGGTAGGTCAAAAGAATCCGCATCGTTGGGAATTCCTTCCAGCGAGCCTTATTACCACTACAAAAAAAAAAGCAAAAAAAAAACAATTTATTCCTCATTTAGAAGAACACACCTTTGGAAACTTTTTCCGATTAGTTTAAATTTTTAACGTTGGTTACTGATGGCCCCTACTGTTTGACGTGTTAAATGGAAACGAAGAATGTGTTAATTTATAGATTAATTAGATTAACGATCACGCAATATTTCTACGATAACTATAATCACATGTATTTGTTTAAAAAGGAAAATTAACATTACCTGAAAAGTAAACATTAGTTCGTAATACGATGTGTCAGATATGGGCCAGTCGACCCACATCTTGAATGGAAGTGCCCTGTTCGACTTATTTTGTCCAAGGTTTTCTGGAATATAAACCAGTAGCAACTTATATGTACAATTTTTTTACAGTTACAATCACAATACATAGTTACTGATCAAAAAATTGAGAACACACTTGAAAGTAGATCAAAGTATCATTCTCGTATTACGGTCATATGTATTTAATTTAATGCACTTACCAATAAGAGGCGTAATCACGTAGCCGGATAAAGTAGCTGGCTGAGCAGCGAATGCGAAGTACATAAACCGTGTGCAATATTTTACAGATATGGAAAAAATCGGTTGTTCCGCGGAATTGTAATTGCTATGCCAGAAGTGCCGTTGGGCATAGAAAAATGCGTCTAGTAACTCAGCTCTATTAGAATTTAGGATCAGCAACTTAATTATTGTCATACTGATACACATCGAGTTCAGTATCGCGTACATACAGCGCTGAAAACGCAATACATTCGCTGATGAGAAAATTTTTCATTAAATACTGCAACAAAAGCAGCTTCACAGATTTATCATCAATAGAATTTTAGGGTATACTTCCGAAAGGCCCCATCACCCCAGGACAACCAAACTTCGGATTTATAATAATTGAGGGACGAGAAATCGAATGAGACCATTTTCAGAACTGGCAAATAAACCGTTCTCGAAATATACAGGGTATTCTAAAAGTGCGGAAACCCCCTATTACCTCGATAAGAACGCATTTTCATGGAAAATGACTAACCTACCCTAGGTTAGGGTTAGGGTTAGGTTAGTCATTTACCTAAATGTGATTTTTAATGTTTCTGCACTAAACGAAACTGAGAAACATGTATTTTACAGAAAAAAAAGTCAGCCTGTGCGGAACTCGAACCTACGAAAAGTCCAGCATCGGGTTAACAGACAGGCGCCTGAACCATTGGACCATCGGCACTATCACAAAACCTTTTGATTTTTTAAGATATACATCTCGTAAAGTACTTTTATCAATTAGGTTTATTTAGTTTCTTTAATTCCTATTCTATTCCCCTGCATGTAAAAACATTGAACAGTGTATATACCATGTATTTGATAAAGCACAGACGAAGATTCGTCGAATAAGTAACTCTAACACGCAAAAAACAGCGAAATCAAAAATCGGTTTTTGATTTTTTTAACTATGGCACCTAACCAAACTATCTCAAAACATTTGAGGATGGTAGTATCAATAATATACACTTATACAAAAAATATGAATGTAGGATGGCATCTCCTTCAATACAAAATCGCCATTTTTCAGCATTTTTTTGATGGTTTTGATTTTTTACGGCTTCAGTTTTCAATAGAAATGTCTCTGAGGTTTTTCAGAATTTTCGAATGTCATTAAATAGGAGAAATTAGCCAAAAACTTCGCGATTACATTTTTACCCGTAACTACCCCTCCAGATGAGATACAGGGCTGAAACTTGGCACAGACTGTTTTTTCTTGATAAGCTATCGAATGATTCATTGTAAGTCGAGTTTGGTTTTGGGGCACTTCCGACCACCTTAACCGGCTATACGATTTGATTTTGAAAAATAAAACATATTTTTCAGATTTAAACAAATTTTCTGACGTAATTATAAAAGATATTGAAATTCTATTTACACTAAAAGATTCTGTAGACTTTCCTGAATATAGCGATACCTATCTTTAATACATTATAAATGTTTAAATATGTTTAAACGATCATTAAACACGGAGGGACCCCGATTTGGCATCAATTTTTTAGGATATTTTTCAGTTTATCTGAAAAAGAAGAGGTCCAGTGTAAAATCGAATTATACCACGCAACATCGATTTTTTTATCAAGCCAGAAAGCGAAATAGCTTTGCGGGAGACGAACTACCGACAGTGGTGCTTCACGTCAGGACGGTAGCGATGGTAACTGCGAGGCGGGACGCTGAGCAACCGTCCTGACGCGGAACACCACTGTCGGTACTTCGTTTCCCGCGAAGGTATTTCGCTTTCTGGCTTGATAAAATAATCAATGTTGCAACTTTCTCCGGGCGGTTTTTCAAGATACAAAATCTACTCTATCGCTTAGTATAATTCGATTTTACGCTGGACCTCTACTTTTTCAGATAAATTGAAAAATATCCCAAAAAATTGGTGCCAAATCGGGGACCCTCCGCGTTTAATGATTGTTTAAACATTTATAATGTATTAAAGATAGTTAGTGTATCTTTTAGTGTAAATAGAATTTCAATATCTTTTATAATTACGTCTGAAAATTTGTTTAAAACTGAAAAATATGTATTTTTTTCAAAATCAAATGTCTCAAAAACTGCACGTATAGGAGCAAAACGGGTTGCAGATTCGTAATCAGCGTATAAAGCACTATAAGAATCATCGGGTGAGGATCGTAACACAAAAATACGTTAAAATTTGTTGGACAGTGTAATTGTTGTTCTTTATCCCATCTATCATTTTCTTTGATTAAAAGTTCATATTTATTAACACGATTGTATATTAATAGAAATAATTACTTTTACATTATATTCTTTTAACATTTGCATCTACTAGTAATTCTCATTAACTAAAATTAGTTACTCTCGAATGCAAATAATTTAAATAATAATTATACATTGTGGATAATCTTTTGCCAATTGCATTGTTGTATACGCCAGTATCTATCTTCTGTTATAAATAGAAACAAAGGACACAGAGTGCAGGGAAAATAAGACAAGATATACGTTATCCGACACTTTTGCGAAAACATGTTTTCCTGTGCCTTTAAAAAGTTGCGGAAAATCGTTAAAATCGTCAGTTTCTTGGAGTCTGTGACACTGCATGTCCATATCTTAGTGATTCAAAATCTTTTTTTAAGAGAACATTTCATGTAATAAAATGGTTGCCATAAATCCGGTAAATGTAATTCGTTTACTTATGATTACATTCAGCGGGACGGATGACAATTAAACACCAATTAATAACCGTCAACAAGAACGTCACGATATATTAAAAGATGCGCTGGTTAGAGCGGTTGAAAATACATACGACGTTTGTAATGAAAATCGATCATACATTAAAATTCCTTGATCCGTTTAGACCAAATTCTGTGGAATTTGTGGACGACATATTTTCACCTATTGACGAGGAAGTTGCAGAACCTGTAGAAGATCTTGTGTCGCACAAGAAGGAGGTATTGTGACGTTAGAATACAAAGGAAATGCTGTTGCATATTGGAAAAGTGGAAAAAGAAAACAACTTTGATTAGAAAATGTGTAGCATAAGTTCCAAACAGTTCAATCGATTCAGCAATTGTACAGGTAAAGTACAGTTTGTTTTAAATATTTTGTTTTTGTAACAGAATTGGTAGTTCCACAGAAAGAGGTGAGCGGAATTTTTGAATGAAAGGGGTCTGAAGGGATCGAGGGGGAGGCGCCGAAGACGAATTTCCGGTTCCGGAAGTGCGGAAACTATCGGTGCCCATTTTACCAGACTTACATGCCCACCCGTTGGAAATCGTTCATGATCGACCTATACTTTAAAAAAACGTTAAAAAAGAAACTTAATCTAACTTAACCTAAACTAAACCTAACCCAACCGTAAGGTTTATTACAGCTCTAAGCCGTAAGATTTAGGTTAGGTTACAATTTTTTTTAACGTTTTTTTTAGGTTTAGATCGATCATGAGCGATTTCCAGCGGGTGAGCGTGTAAGTCGGGTAAAACGGGCACCGATAGTTTCCGCACTTCCGTAACCGGAAATTCGTCTTCGGCGCATCCCCCTCGACCCCTTCAGACCCCTTTTATTCAAAAATTCCGCCCCCCTTTTTCTAAACAACAGCCACAGAATTTTTTACAATAACATTTTAGAATAAAATGAATTAATTTTTTTACGTTTTTATCCGACTTCTAAAAGGAGGAGGATAATCAATTCGATGTGTATGTATGTGTTTTTTTTTTTTTTTATGTATGTTCACCGATTACGCTGAGACGGATGGATCAATCGGAACGAAACCTTTTGAATCGGGTAGAGTATGTTTCCCGATTGAACCCGTTAAAAAAATATTTTGCATTTTTTCATTCCTAACGACTTTCTTCTCTAAATGTATGTTCGCCGATTTCTCCGAGACGGATGGACCAATCGGATCGAAAATTTTGTATCTTGTAGAGTATATCTCCCGATTGGTCCCGCAATACAATTTTTGTGTATTTTCATTCCTAACGACTTTTATTGCAAAAAACGTAATACTTCATTTATATCTTCCGGCATTTATGCTGCAGGGAATGTACCGATTGCGATGAAACATTTTACATTTAGTAGGAGGTATATCCGCGATGATCCCACTTGCAAAAATTTATGGAATTTGTTAATAACTACTGTCATAGCGAAAAATGTATTCCTTGATGTTACTCTGCAAGGAATGTATCGTTCGCGATGAAACCGTTCATATTTAGTAGGATATACAGGGTCATTACCTCGCGACTACCTCGACACCTGAAGAGGGATGATTACTAAGGTGATTCTAAACAACTTTTTCCTTTGCCAAAATGTTGGTTAAGGCTTGGTTTTCGAGTTAATAACAAAAAACACCGACCAATCCGAGCGCGTATAGCGCGCAGTCCCAGGGACTGCACTGACTGGTACGAAAACCGGACCTGACATAGGTCGTGAACGAATGGCTTGGCACCCCATCGGCATAGCATAATAAAAAAACTTAACTGGTAGAACACCTTTAGTCGTTTAAAATGAATACGGAACCTAATCTCTTGTCGCCTGTCATAATGTAAAAGTGGAAATTCTAAGGATTCTAAACAACAAATAAAAATGTTTGAAGTGGAATAATTAATAAACGTTTGAATTAGAGGCTACGCTAATGATGCAAAATTTGAAAACAATTTAAATGAAACTCATCCATTCGTTTCTAAATTAACTTGCTACGCTGAAAGCAAAAACATTATGATAGGCGACAAGAGATTAGGTTCCGTATTCATTTTAAACAGCGACTAAAAACGTTCTATCAGTTCAGTTTTTTTATTGTGCTATGCCAACGGGGTGCCGAGCCGTTGGTTCGCGACCTACGTCAGGCCCGGTTTTCATAGCCGACATTGCAGACCCTGAGCCGCTCGGATTGGTCGGTGTTTTTTGTTAATAATTAGAAAACCAAGCCTTAACCAACATTGTGGAAAAGGAAAAAGTTGTTTAGAATCATCTTAGCAATTATCCCTCTCCGGCTGTAGAGGTAGTCGCGTGACACTCTGTATATCCGCGATGATCCCACTTGCAAAAATTTATGAAGTTTGTTGTTTATTAACCATTTAAATTTGGTCAATTTTTTTTCAGTTTATGGTTATTAGCTAAGCAACAGAAATCCAAAATCACCTTACACTATCCTACAAATACTGCAGGTTCCACTAAAAAGTGTGAAATAAAATAATTTTTAACAAAAAGCATATCCGACTTCGAAATGCACTAAAAAGTATCAAATAATTTCTATTTCATTTATACCAATATTCCATAGCTATTAATAATATCTACTTAATCGTTAAATAGGATATCAAATACATTTCAAAGTTTTCGGAGGCGGCGCATAATTAAAAACTTTTCGTCTACTAGGAAGATCCTAGTTCAGGCTTCGGCAACCTATGACAAATAACCCATTTGATAATTTCAAGTAAACAATATTCAACAGGAATCAACTGTTGCGTGTGGATTTAGATATTTAGGGATATTTACTTTCAATTCAAATTCTTCTAATTCAACCTGTGGTATTGTAAGCGTATCGTAATCCGACGTAGTATTAATAACGAACAATTTAACCAAGCCGTTTTGTTGATTTACTAATACCTCTCTCAAAAAGATACCAGGACCAGCATCAATCCTCCTAACATAACCCGATGTATTATCACCCTTCGTCGGGACAGAAATCAAGACTTTATTTCGAGGAGGCAACTCATATGATGAGAAGATGGGAGTGCGTAATTTCTCTTCATCAAATTCCACAAGGCATGGAAAATTCTTTCTAAACCTCACTGTACCTCGTCGTTTTTCCAAAAATGACGTCCCCAAAATTCCGGCCTCCCTAACAGGAAAATCATCTTCTACCACCTGAAAATGTACAAGGATGCCATGCACGCAAATAATTACATCACTCCATGTCCGGACCGTACCTGTGCTAATACCAGTAAGATGGTAAACTATATTTTCATCAACTGATAAATTAGGATTTAATTCTCTTCGTTTAATAAGGTTAAGTTGCGAGCCGGTGTCTACAAGGAATTTAGCTAGACCATTCCGAAAATGTTCGTGCTCTAAAGGAATAAACGGTGATTGTGTGACCTGTTTCAAACTGATTTCGCGGCAAACGCGGTGGATGCGGCGCGAGAGATAAGGGGTTCCCTTCGTGCTGCGCCCGTCGACGAAACCCCCTTTGAATTTAAAGGGTTTTCCTGATTCCTAGAAGTTGAAGGAATTGATGGTCGCGATGTCTTCCAACCATGGTTAGTATTATCCCAAACACGGTTAATATTTCCCCTCCGGCATTGTAAAACCGTATGACCTAATTTTCCACATCTTCGGCACCTAGGAACGTTGCAAATCGGCACCCCGCGTTGATGATCCCCTCGCGCATGACATTGTCTGAAAAAATGACCCGGTTTTCCACAATTATAACATGTGCTTTCGCGCACCTTTGCCGTTAAAACCCTGGGATTAACATCGAGAGGTTTAAGATTCCGAGATGTCCGCGGAGTGTCGATCTGGGTTTCTATTTTCGATGCTAATTTTGCAGCAGCTACTACATCTTTTAGACCGTCCCTGGAAATGATACCTGCAATAATATCATTCCGCAATCCTTTCAGAAAACCATGTACCGCACTCTCTGAGAGTAAAGCTTGAATACCCACGAATTGTTCTAAATCATAATTCTCTCGAACTGCCTGTACCCCGCGGTCTAAAATTCCATTTACTCTGAATCCAAATTCCTTTGTCGTTTCACGCTCATTGCGACGTACGGCTTTTAACTGATTTAATGTATCATTTAAATTAAAAGTCCTAGCATAGGCAGATTTAATCAAACTAATCAACTCCTCTACGGTTTAAAGATTTGCATCACCTACCACATTCCTGTAGATGTGGTGCTGCATCCGACTTCGAATCAACGCGAGCAAATAAACTTTATCATCCCCTTTAACCAAAGAATCAGCAAATCTACACTGTACAATGAAGTGGCTCACCGAGGACGGTTTACCATCAAAATGAGGTACGAATTTGCTTAACAAATCATATGGAGTACGCGACACAATCGTCAAAGACTCAGGTAGTGTCATTACCAAATTTCCGGGTGTATTCTTAGCCGAAGGTTGCGATAAAGATTGAGCAGGTGCTGCATCGGAAATATTTAATTGGTTGCTGCTACCGCGTGAAGAAGAGGGAGTCACGTTAGAAGTTGTTGCCTCAGATGAAGCTGGCGTCCGGGGAGGAGGGTTCGCCGCCTCTACGCGGGAATCGTCCGGTCCATAGCCCTGTACGGGGCACCGGTATGGGCCGGCGATTTGGCGGTGGGCAGGCGCAGCTGTAATATCTTGCAGCGGGTGGAGCGCCGGCTCGCCATCAGGGTCGTGCGGGGGTACCGCACGATCTCCTACGCGGCGGCGATGGTCCTGGCGGGGTTCATCCCTTTCCAATACCTGGCGGAGGTCGAGTCTAGTACCTACTGGTACTCAAGAGCCCTCCGTCAGGCCGGGGAGAACCCGCCTGGACCAACGGTCGAGGAGTATCGGAGCCAGGCCCGACTAGTCGCGATGGAAAGGTGGCGCCTCTCTCTTCGAGGGGTGGCTCCTGGAAATCGCGCCGTCGGGGTGGTCCTGCCGGTGCTGTCAGAATGGCGGGATCGCGGCTATGGCGCCCTGACATTCCGGGCCACACAGGTGCTCCCCGGACATGGGTGCTTCGGGGAGTACCTGTGCCGAATTGGAAAGGAGGATACACCCAGGTGTTGGCATTGCGGGGCGGGGCGGGATACCGCACAGCACACCCTCGAGGTGTGTCCTGTGTTTGAGTTGGCCCGCCACGCCCTGCGTGTCGAGGTGGAGGGCGGTGATCTCCTATTGTGGGGAGGTCATCGCCCTCAAGGGGAGGGCCGAGCGAACCCGCTCGGAGAAGAGGCCGGCGCCAACCGCGGCGCCGGCGGGAACCGCCGCCCTAGGAGAGCCGGGGGGGTTGACGGCGCCGATCGCCGTCGCCCCCCCCCGGCGCGACGGATGCGGGGAGGGGATAGATGAGGGGGGGCCCGCGTGCCCTCCCCAACTTCAGCTTTCAGGGGGTGAGAGGGGTCGCGGTGACCCTCCCGCCCCGGACGAATGAGCCCGGACCCCGGTCGGACCTGGGGCGGGCGGGGGGGGCGTTACCAATCGGGGGCCCTCTCCGCCTGTCTCTGGGGGGCCGGGTGACTCCGGGCGGAGATAGTGGCGGGGTACCTCCCACGTAGGGAGTTGCCGCCCTCCCGCACTGAGGGGGAGGGACGAGGAGGGGCCGAGGAGTTCCCCTGTTGGGTAGCTGGCCACAGCCCACCACAACCCCCAGGGGAACGATTCGGCGGGCCGCAGGCGCCCCGCTGGGACGCCATTGCACACGGACCCGTGGTGTTGCTGGCACCGGAAGTTCGGCGAGGCGTGGACTGCGCCCGATCTGCCGCGCGGGCGGGCGGGGCGCTGCTCCTCCCTCCAGCTCGTGCAGGCGGATCGAGGCGCGGGGACTGCAGGCGTCCTGGGCTGGGGGCCCAGGCGCCATTGCACGCAGTCCTCCGAGATGAAGCCGACATCGGGTGCGATCCCCGGTGTCGGCAGAAGGGGGGTCCTTTCGACTCCCCTCCAAGATGGGCGCTTTGGCGCGAGGCGGGGGAGGTTCCGGAGTAATATCACTCAGGTCCCGGAGCCTCCCCAAAACGCCCGAAAAGGTCACCGTGGGCTTTTAGCCGGTAGAAATCCGGCACTACCCCGTCACCTCCCCCCAGGGGGTGGCGGGGCGTCTCATCTTGTCGAAGATTTCCCCACGATAAAAAAAAAAAAAGAAAGAGATGATACTGGCGTATTATTCACCGTGCTACTAGCAGGATTTGACACACCACCCATCGCACCCCAGCTCTGTATAGTAGATTGATCAGGGACAAGATGTGACTCCTGTAATTGAGGTTCAAATCTTCCAAAAGAGGAAGAAGACCCTATACTAGGAGATTCTGCTGAAACTTCCTCTACAAATACAACACTAACACCACGCAGACTATTCCTGCGTCTCTTCCTTCTGGCTCTTAATAATTTCTTTGATAACGGCGGCATTTTGTCGAATCAAATATAATGACTATAAACTAATATTCTATAATCCAATCGTTTATCACCTAGACTTACAGTTCTGTTGCGACGAACAATTGATAATGCGCAAGAAATCACTTAAAGATTTTGCTAAATTAAACCTTCTGTTTGCAGGTGTATGGTCCCATCCGTCGGCGACCCGTTGAGCAGGTTAACCTTAGTTTGTGAGAAGGTCCTCAGGTACTTGGGTCGATGGTCTCCAGCTCCGCAACAGGTACTCCAATAAAATCCGTCTGCAGTCAGCTGCTTCAAGTAGGCCTCAGCTCCGTAGGAAATCCGCTCAGGTCTCTGGATTTTCTGGATTCTATTTCGTCTCTCTCTTATGTCCAGATTACAAAAGTGATCCGATAATATCGTGGACGAGGTGCGTGTGATTCCGGTGGATGGCTTGCACGGAAGCCGAAATCACCTGTCTCCGGTAATTACCCTTTCGCCCTTGGGGAAACCGCGTCAAAACCCAAGAAGGAGAAGTTGCACAATTTTAACTTTGTCCACTTATTTGTATTGTTCAATAAAATAGTTTGTAAAGTATTTGATTAACTGTTTAATTCACACCTGCGAGCTGGTAAAGTAATTTTGAGTGTACATACATAAGTCTGTCACAATCACTTTGTTTAAATTGTAATTGCTTCACTGTTTTAAATTGTCACTTTTGAAATAAATCCCTTTTGAAAGATACCCTTTGTAAAATCACTTTTGAAATAATCCTTTTTGAATATTCCACCTTTATGGATTATCCCACCGCTGTCACCAAAATATGTTGCGTGAAGATTTAGATATTTAGGGATATTTAGGATCTTGAAGAACGTGGGTAAGGGTACCCGTGGGGCGCTAAAGCACCCTGCTCGCAAGGCGCGAAATGAGTTAAACAAACTGCTGTTTACTGTTGTTTTCTATTGGTAAGTTCAACTCTTTATTAAATAGTCTTGAAACTAGGATTTCAAAATGTACTAATTTGCGACTCGAGAACAACTTGTCAGATTCAAGCGACAAAATCATTCTGATCGTTCTGCGCTTGGCGGAGGAAATCTTCGCGCGATGTCGGTCGATACCCCTTCCTTGGTGGATCCTGGATCCTCCCTCAAGATCATCCCTCGTCCAATGGTGGAGGAGTCCACCAGGCTCTCCAAGCTCCACTCTTGTGAATTTGATGCAAATTTTAACTCACCCCCGGACTTCCAGGCAGCGCTGATGTCGCTTCTCTACATGCATAGCTTGTATCACTGATTTTAACATACACAACTAAAGATATCGTGACGTCATGTTCCCGCGAAATTTGTCGCCGCTTTTTCAATTGTTTCAAAATTTAAAGAGACAAAAGAATTATGGCGCACATGGTTGTACATGGTGGCAGCGTGGATGACTGAATTTCCAGGTTCGTGAATTCCATTATTATAATAATTACTATTATTATTATTTAAAAAGATATTTTTTAAAGTTTTTTCTAGGTTTTTAGGTTTTTAATAACTTCTACTGATGAGATGCAGCAACAGCAGAAGAAGATAGAAATTAAGTAAGTACAGAATTGTTTAAAATTGTTACTGAAAACAGTAACTGTTTACATTGGTGTTTTAGTAATATATGTATTTAATTTTAATTATTAAAATGTATCTTTAAAGGATGTTCTCCTTCACTCAAGAGAGAAAGGATAAGAAGAGGATGGCGCAATGGGTGGAAGTACGTGGTAACCCAAAGTCAGTGCTTCCACTTGAAAACTGAATTTCTGGATGATCTGTAACAGCTATTTTGAAGAAAAATACTTCGTGAGAAAAAGATTAACAACATCAGCAGTTCCCGCACTGAACTTACTTGGTAATAACTCTTATATAATTTTTATAGCATATGTAAATAATTGTTAATGAAAATATTTATTACAGTGTCTGAGGCTGCCTTTATTAAAATAGAGCAACAAGACATCTGGATGCAAATGAAAAGAAGAAGAAGAAGAAGATTGTAAGTATTCAGTTTACATATACAATATATAAAAGCATTAACATGGTATTAATACACTGAGGTATACATAATAATACTTCTAGCATGAAGTGTATGTATAATATTATATAATTTTGTTCTTATAGTTAAACCTGATCACCAGGGGAGTGGAGATCCTGATTTTCGAGACATTTGGTACGTGTGTTTTATTGTATGTATGATTGTGATTAATTGTATATTATTATTGATATATATACAGGGTGATCCTCTCGCTACGCTACCCAAAGGAAGTGCCGCCACAATAGAATGTAGAAGTCGACATCCCATTTCTGTCATCGCTTACTTGACCGAGGTGGCCCCTGCAGCGAAGACGGCTGTGTGCGTGAAAATGTGTTAAGAAAATATTCTGTTTTCCGCAGTGCTTAAATGGGACTTTTCTGCTCATTACACACATTTTCACTCACACAGCCGTCTTCGCTGCAGGGTCAAGTAAGCGATGACAGAAATGGGATGTCGACTTCTACATTCTATTGTGGCGGCACTTCCTTTGGGTAGCGTAGCGAGAGGATCACCCTGTATATATTTATTTTATTGTAGTAAAAGTTTAATATATGGAAATTACTCCACATATATTGTTATAATTTTTTCCCTTTCATTATTTTTATTTTTCAAAGTTTTGAATAGGTAAGACTATGCACACGTATATAGGGAGCATATGCTTGTGTGCGTATCTCACTGATATCATTTATATGTGTTTGTAGCGACACCAGCGCCGCCTGGAAGTCCGGGGGTGAACTAATTTTAGTTACAGCATTAAATACGGGAGTTTGGAGGGCCTGGAGTCCACTCCGTCCAATGTAGGCCCCTTCTCCTGGCTGTGATCCACCCTCAAGAGCGTGGAAGTGGAGGCGCACCGCCAAGACGCTAGAACGTTCCAGCGCACATGTGCTAGGAGAAAGCGTGGAACCCAGAGAAAATAGGAAACGACAAGACCTTGTACTTGCCAAAAGGCAACTCTTGAGGAAATTTACGACCCTCTTTGAGTGCATGAAAAGACTTTGTAACTTTTAAGGAATTTGATATGGTCTATCATAAATTAGTCTTTCAGGAATTTTTAGAAGTGAATTCCATTCCATTCTCTGGCTTTCCGACCTTCTTTCAGCTCGATCACCCACGTCGAAGGGTTTACAATTTAGGCTTTGTCTATTTATATAAGTGTACGCGCAGATGGTGTTTAAATTTCGCTCTTGATTTACAATCATCGATACAAAAGGTCCTCGACTGATCTTCGAGACATATCGATACTACAAACTATCGATAAATATTCCCATGGCAGTGTCGCTATACTACTCTAAACATATTCACGTGATAACATTTCACGTTACACTAGAAACATCGTTTATCAAAGGGTGTCCCAGAATTAGGTTGAATCCCATGTAGAGATGGTTGTTGAGATGATTCTAAACAACTTTTTTCTTTGCCAAAATGTTGGTTAAGGCTTCGTTTTCGAGTTATTAACGAAATACACTGTCCAATGAGAGCGCGCGGACTGAATCGCGAGAGTGATGGCTATTGATTACATTCGAAAGGTGGTCATGAACAAGCGCGGCGGCACCGCATCGGCACAATCTGCAGCTGCGTTTTCGAAATATAAGCAACTGAAAATTGGAACATCAATTTCTGAAGCATGGAAAAGGCAAGGATTTATAATTTTAAAGTACTAGACAGATGTACTGTCAACTATTCGAAAGCGAAACACACGTTTTGGAAATTGCTATTCCAATTTGCAATTGCTTATACAGGATTGCCTCGAAATAAGCAACTCACTTGGGACCGAACAGTTGCTTATTAGGAAGCACGCATGCTATTCGGCTTGACGAATGAGAGATCGTCAAGATACGTCACTTGTAAAAACGAGTGAGAAATCCAAGGTAACGGCAAATGGACCTCTCACTTTGCGGGCGACTTCAAACAAAGAGGGGATAGCGAGTTGCTTATTTCGAAGCAGAGACCACTTGCTTATTTCGAGGCAATCCTGTATGTACATATGTATCTTCAAACCGAAGCCGCAGATTATGCCGATGTGGTGTCGCCGCGCTTGTTTATGCTACCGTTCGAACGTAATCAATAGCTAATACTCTCGCAGTTCATCCCGCGCTTTAATTGGACAGTGTTTTTCGTTAATAATTCAAAAACAAAGCCTTAACCAACGTTATGGAAAAGGAAAAAGTTGTTCAGAATCACCTCGGCAATCATCCCTCCAGGGGATTCTATTTCATTCTGGGACAACCTGTATAAAAAAGACTAATATCCACATTTAAAAAATAGTTCCCTGTTTCGCCCCATATTCCCCCACCGATCGATTTCAAAGGTACCGCTAGGAATGTTGCCTCTTATTATACTTATTCTTCGGAATAGTTGTCATAACATGTGTTAAATCAGCAATAGTCATAACAATAGATCATAATCATCGCCTCCAGAATTTTCGGCAAACTTTACTGTTATATCTTTCCTTTCAAAACTTTATATATTTTCTTTCAAATTAATCACAATACATCTACCATCGGCGAACCTTTAAATTGTTTTATTATTATATTATTTGAAATCATCGTCGCTAAATCCGCCATAAAACGTTCGACAGATTTTTAAATTAGTTTAGTAATAAACTAATTTAACCGCTCGCCCAAAATTAACGGTACCATTCCGGTACCAACGTCACCGGTACCTTCGCCCTTTCCACGCGACATTTTTCGCACACCCACCAACTTCCACCATGTACCCTTACAGCCAATTAAACTCCACGATATTTTTCCTTTCCTACATTTTTACCCCTAGTTCTTTAACTCCTCCCTTTCTTGAATAATATAAGAAATTCCGTCTTAGCAGCAACAGAACAACTGCAATCGTTAAACAGAACCATCGAACAGATTAATACATCTGACGAGTTCACCATATACTTATAGTTAAAATTAAATTCTATCTTCCGAGTTACATGTGTATCAGAATTAAAGACGATGTATATTCAACTCTTATAATTTGTTATTCATTTGGGAGTTAATACCAATATCATTAAGCTACCCAACTTCGCGTTGAACTAAACGTGATGGACTAACAACATGCACAAGATTTTTTGTATTTAATTTCCTACTGTATTCATAATAAGTATTTTTTACGTAATGTATAGATACAAAAATATTACATAAATACATACTTCACATCAGATCTACATATGCATACATTTATGTTTTTTGTAAGTAATTAATATGTATAAAACTGTTTATAAAAAGTAATAGAAAATTGATAAAAACAAATTCTTGTAACTATATCGAATGTAACAAAACATTGTTCAATATCATAATATTAATATATTTCATAACCAGGCATCGGAAATTGTCTAGAAAAAGTTTCAACTTCTTCCTTTAAAGCTGCAACCTTTGTTTTAATATTAACATCAGTATTTAATACTCGTTTATAATCAACAAGCTTAGGACCAGAAATATTAGATACTTCTTTAGCAAGTTGCAATCCTAAAACATATGTTTATAAGATATTTTCAAATATTACTTTCAATTAAGTATAATCTGTTATCTTAAATATACCTTTATGTATGAAGTCAACGACTTTGTCAATGTCTTCTTCAACTAAACCACGAGTGGTTAATGCAGGTGTTCCAAGCCTGATGCCACTACAATTTAGTGCACTTTTATCACCTGGCACTGTATTTTTATTGCAAGCAATAGAAATACTTTCTAAAATTGCTTCTGCTTTACCTCCTGATACTCCAACAGATCGTAAATCTACTAATAACATGTGAACATCAGTACCACCTGTACTAATATTATAGCCATAATCTTGAAGTCCTGAACACAATCTCTTTGCGTTAGCAATAATTTGTTTCTGATATTGACGAAATTCCGGAGACTTAACTTGTTTCATTGCTGTAGCAATGCCTGCAATTGCATGATTATGAGGACCTCCTTGTAGTCCTGGGAATACTGCTTGATTAATTTTATCTTCCAAATCGTACATGATCTTTTTTCCATCTTTGCCAATACTTCTAACTCCTTTACGAAAGAAGATAATACCAGCTCGAGGCCCTCTAAAAATTATAAAAAATTTATTAACTGTTTAAAAATGAATAATTATTTTAAAATAAATACCTTAAAGTTTTATGGGTAGTAGTAGATACAACATCACTATAGTTAAATGGGCTAGGAATTACTCCAGCTGCAACTAAACCAGATATATGAGCCATATCACTAAAAAGATAAGCGTTATTTTCGTCTGCTATTTCTCTGAATCGTTTATAATCTAGACATCTGCTGTAACAGGATACACCTGCTATTATAATTTTAGGTTTAAACAATCTTGCTTCTTCAGCCAACTGATCGTAATCAATTAAACCTGTTTTACGATTAACTTTATATGGCATTGATTCAAAAAATATTGATGTTGCAGAAACTTTTTTGTTCAAAGTAAAAAAACCTAAAAATATATTCAAATATTTATAATTTTATAAACATCATGATATTTTAATGAATTTATATAAAAATTGTATATTACCATGAGTAAGATGTCCTCCATCAGGAAGATCTAATCCCATGATGCGACCATGGGGTTCAATTAAACCTGTATAAACTGCAAAGTTAGCAGGACTTCCTGAATAAGGTTGTACATTACAACCCCATTCTTCTGGATTTAAATTAAATGCTTCTAAAGAACGTTTCTGTGCTAATAATTCAATTTCATCAATGTATTCGTTTCCTCCGTAATATCTAAATTCAAATAAATACTACATGAAACAATATATAAATTTAAAAGAACAATATTAATAAATTTTTATAAGTATACCTTTGACCAGGAAGACCTTCGCTATATTTATTATGAAGACAAGTACTCAAACATTGAAGTACGCTGAGAGATGTAAAATTTTCACTAGCAATCATTTCAAGTCCAGATTCTTGCCTCTTCTTTTCATTTTTTATCACTTCAAAAAGTTCTGGGTCTGTTTCCCAGATATTTTTATAAATAATTCCCGTCATGTTCTGAATAAATGAGATATAGTAATAATAAATGTGTTATAAATTAAAAATGTGTTTTATAAGACAAAAGGTATTGTAATGATGATAATAATTAAAATAATATTTATAACATTGAACAACCATTTACTTTTATAAAAATCAATATAAATTAATCTTTTCTTTCCATTGTTTTTATTTGTTTTCAGTTTATTTCTTAGCTTACATAAACAGTATTCTTAAAAATATAATGGTTATATATTCCTCGTGTATATTAATATTTCAATATTTTATTTTATAATTTAAATGTAATACTCATGTAAATTTAATAAGAATAATATGTCATAATATAACATAAATATACTGTTATTTATTTATCATTGTATAATATTGTATATTGAACTGATTTAATACAATAAAAAATTGATCCATAATCGATTATATTTCTAATATAAATGATTATATTTATATTAAAAAATAATTGACTTTTAAATAAATTATTAATATCACTCACGAGTTTAGACAAGCAACAGGTAGTCGAAATGTGGACGTTACAATTTGAAATTCCAAACACATCTGGTATTCGTCTTTGAAAAACATAATCTTTTATACACTGTGTCCGGGCGATTAACAGGTTTTCAACCAATTGAAAACCGCGTCGATTTAAATTTAATCGATTTATGATCATAATTACAAGTTTTTTAAATCGTACGTGTAAAAGCTTATGGAATGTGTAAAATGACTTTTTATTTTATTTGTGTTTGATCTGTTACCATTTTAACAATATGTCTTATAAATGTACTGTCTAACCTAAAAACTTTAGAAATCAGGTTTTAAGTTAATGAAATATACACATGATATTTAAAACTTTTTAAATTGAGTCTTGTTTTATTACAATATCAGAACTGCTTTAATAAATCATTAAAAGATCGTTAATATATTGAATGCTGTTTAACTCGTGTATACAAATATAAAACACAAACGTGATCGTTTTACACTGAATTTCATTTCGGAAGTAAAAAATTTAATAATAGGGTACAATTATACTTATCACATTCAAATTTAAAGTTTATTAGTCACATATTTTCAGCCATGAAGTATTTGTCACGAAATTTTTTAAAAATCTTAAGCAATCTATTCATGTAACTCAATTTTTATAACTAACAGATTGAGAGTATCTTATTACAGTATAACTTTATATTATTCATTATAATAATAGGTACAAATTTCAAGAATAAATGTAGCATTGTTATTGTAACAGTTCTAATTTAAAAGTACATAGTTTTCGTATAAGTATTTAGTAATATTACGTTTATTACCAAACAATCCAGCTGATACGTTTATCGACATCTCTTACATTTATTTTTTTTTTAACAAAATTGTTTCTCTATTTCAGATAAGATATGTAGGGAATATTATATGACCTTTAAAAAGCAATTAAACAAATAACAACCAGTAATTTAAATTATAGCAATTATTGGAAAATTATTAAAAAGCATGAACACTTTGGGTCTACATTTCAACGCTGTAATTTTGTTTTTCTAATAAATATGATATTAGAAAATAAACCCACTTTCATTTTTTAAGATAATTTTGAAATCATTAGATTTACTTCTGGATAAAAATATCGCATGAATTTACTTCTCGGTGAAATTTAAGTGAGAATAATTATACATATAACATGTTAGCAGTAATACCTGTGTCATCAGCTTCGTTAAACGCTGCCTTTCAAGAATCCGTCTTGCTACGAATAGTAATCACGTCATGTTTATGTAGTTTTCAAAACAGATTTGATGGATTTAGCAATACGTAATGTAAGATAAGATATCTATATTTAAAAAAAGAGATGTAAAAAACAATCCAGCAAACATATTTCGTTTTACTAATAAACAGTGACAAGCTGATAAACAAAATTACAGATCTTTTTAATTCATCTTTCATTGATAATGTTTCATCAATTGTCTTTAATGTTATGATTACTATTTGACTAATTTACTGTCGATTAACGGCAAAGCTGCTTCCGGAGATCGAACGTATTAAACTTATAAGAATCATATCGTATAATAATTAAATACATAAGCGACAGTACAAAGGATAAATTAAACGAGAAAAGAGTTGCCGTTTTGGAAAAAATAAAAGGGTGCCTGCAATAAAAAGACAGAAGCAGAGCAGAAGCATCCACTTATAATACCAACTATAAAAATATAAGGGATTTAAGTGAGAGTAATCCAGAGGCATACTTGACAATGAAACTGCCCATAAAATATAAAAGAACAGTGGCGCAAACGAGATTAGCAGGCAAACTGTATTGGAAATTAAGAAACCTAGCCGGGACAATATGTAAAATAATGGAGGATGAAAGATGTGAACTATGTAATAGAGATTACTTTATTGATCGTTCTTTATTGATTACTGTTTATTGATCGTTCTTTATTGATTACTGTTTATTGATCGTTCTTTATTGATTACTGTTTATTGATCATGTACTTATAAGTTGTGAAAACTGATTTAACTAACAGTTGATAAATCTGTTGAGTAAACGATTTAAACACTTATCCATCGAGCAGCTATGATATAGTTAGGATTAAAACACATAGGTAGTGTGTGTGTGCCTAACGACTATGCAGATTGCTCTTTTTCATATGCAAGAAGATCGTCTTTTCACGTGCGATGCACATTAAAAATTAGTTCTGGAAAAACCATGCGATAAATATTTTTTGTTCTTTTCATTTAACCGATATTGCTGTTTTCACTTCCCAATACCTCTACAAAATCAATTTTAGTCAATGTTTGTAAATACAGTTGCTCGAATCATCTACAGAAAATATCGGAAATTGATTATTTGTCGATCTTATTTAAAATTTACAAAAAATGAAATTTAAAAACAAAAATATACCATAAAATTGATTTTAATTTACAAGATTGATTCTGTGTATGATAAATACCCAGATAGCACACGATGTCTTAAAGACATCCATTTTACGACCATTTTAGGTCTGAACGTCTTACGACCTTACCTGGACATCTTTACGATATTTTGTCCCGAACATGTCTTTAAGGCTTCTTTACAGGGTACGAAACGAACGTTGTAAAGACATCTGAAATTCATGTCTTTAAGGCATCTTTATAGGGTACGAAACGAACGTAGTAAAGACATCTGAAATTCATATCTTTAAGGCATCTTTATAACGTACGAAACGAACGTATTAATTATTCGAACGCATTGTTAAATGGAACGAATGCTAAATGTATTTATAAGTGTGACTGGTCAGTACGTGTTGTTCAGGTAGCCCTGAAGAATTTTTATATGAATGTAACATAGTTTCATAAGAAGGGTAATATTGAAATGTGTAAACGCGTTTTTTTCTTAATACCATTACGATTCCTAATACAATTTTCAATCATTTGGGAGTGTAGCTGAAGAAATATACAATATTTAACCAATTGCCTTGGCCTCTTAAGATAGAGAAAAGCAGGATTCGCTATGCTTATCCGGCTAGACCCTTTTGGACAATGTTTTGAGGCAGGTCATATGCGTTCTGTCAGCACGTTTCCCCTTCTTAAGCAAAGGTCCTTGATAAGGTTATGGGGAAATAAGAAATATATTGTAAAGGTTTTATGACAAAAGTAAACTTTAATTGCTTTATAATTGGCTTTAACGAAAATTGCTTGTTGATTGCTCTACGACTCTAGAAAAACTAAACGGCGACCGGTGTCGCTTTAGACCGGTTCGAGTACGCGCACGCACGCGGTTATACTAGCAAGGATGAAAACATAATACTCAACAGTCCTCCAAGTCGGGGTGTTATAAAGAAAACGGTCAGTACAAGTCAGGTCAGTTTCCTGCGAGTTGTTGAAGTTTGTATTTCGCTTTGTGTGTCGTGCAGTATTAGCTATTTGCTGTTTGTTGGATTTTGATTATTCAAAAAGAGCGTAAGTAAATAAAGTGATTATTATTTCGTTGTTATTATTTTTTAATATATTTTCATTACTTTCTGAAAATCTTTCATAGAGTATTATTCTTTTAATAATTTAGATTGCGTTTCTGTTTATAATGTTTCCAATGTTGATTTCTGTATAATTGAACATGTACATACAAATTCTTATTTTAGCTGCTGCAAACCTTGCCGATAGTAAAAGGACAACGGAGGTGTCAATCCAAAATTGGTTAAGAAGAGTTTTCGATAGAAAAAATGTAATTGCGAAACAGTTTTGAATAAATACTTTGTATATTTTGAATAAAATATTATTATACTAAAAACGATTGTATTTTAATTAAGCAGCATTTATAAGACATCTGTAGGGTATATTTAAGATATCTTTAGGACGTTTGTAAGATATCTTTAGGGCATTCATAAGACATCTTTAAAACGTCTGTAAAGCATCTGTCGGATATCGGTACGACATCTTTAAGACATCCCGTTTTCTAACATAGGATGTTAACAGGACGTATTTCAGGTATTCGCAGGACTTTTCAGATATTCGTAAGATATCCTCAATATCTGGAACAGATATCTTTAAGATGTTTTAACGACATCTCTGTGACGTTTGTACGACATCTTTAAGACATCCTGTTTTCTAACATAGGATATTATTCTTTTCTTTTTTTTATTCATTATTCCATACAACTTTTGCCCTATTATACCGACGTGGTGCTGATGCACTTGATCACGACCACAGCTTGAACGCAGAGCATACCCAACACTCTCGTGGTTCGGCCCGCGCTAAAGGCGCGCTCTGATTGGCCAGTGTTTTTCGTTAATAACTCGAAAACGAAGCCTTAAACATCATTTTGACAAAGGAAAAAGTTTTTTAGAATGATCTCAGCAATCATCCATCTTCGGCTCCTACCCCAGTTCTGGGACACCCTGTATATTCAAAGCGGAGCGGTTGTGGGGGAGATCGCGATTGGCGGATTTCGAACGAAACCATACATGCCGGTTTGAATTCGAGAACACCGATGTAGGAGACAAAGGGCGAAGGGGGTACCGAGGCGTTAGGAGAGCAAAACAAATTTGGGAGACAATAAGAAACGGTCGCCCAAATTCAAGGAGCAAACAGAACGACTGATCTGGCTTGTTGGTGTTTTCGAGCTAAACCGTGTCGAGCAACGAGCTGTTACAATTTTAAACAGAACTGTAAAAGACAAAAAGTAATTGTATTACATGTTATCACCAGGCTATCACAATTGAGTTATTATAATATTAAAAGAGAAAACTAAGTTTTTTTAAAACTTCAATAAAGTCTTTACAATTTGTCTGCATAGACAATAGGTAAATTCTTTTATTACATATTGAACTATACATATATCACGTAGACAATTTCTCCATTGAGAAAGTGTCTATATTGGTAAGTTCTGTTTGTCTGTCAAGTCTACTGGATGAGTTCTGCGAAGTCTTCTTTGAATGTGTTGATTGTACATATTGTTAGCTAGTGGATTAATATGAGTTTCTATCCTGCTTTTATATTTTGTGGTTGTTTTTATTATTTCTTCTTGAACTATGGTGATGTTGAGATACTTTCTAATATCTTCATTCTTGATATACCATGGAACATTTAGTATTGTGCGTAGTGTTATCGATTGCTGAGCTTCGATTTTGCCTATGTGGCTCATTGCAGCTATACTTTATAGTGGAGTACAGTATGTCCATATGGGTTTGATTATTGATTTGTATATTTGCAGCTTGTTATTTATATTGAGTTTAGACCTTTTACCTATTAGCCAAGACATTGTCTTCTTTTTAGCCGAATTCGTGTAACTTTTGCAGTAATATGTGGTTTCTAAGTTAATCCTGAATCAAAATGTAATCCTAAGTATGTAACTGTTTTTGTTTGGGGTATCTCTATATTGTTTAATTTTACATCTGCCATTTGATTTTTTCTTAATGTGAATATAATAAGTTTGCACTTGGTTGAGTTTACTTTAATTTTTTTCTTGTGGAGTCATTTTTCAAATTCGTCGATCTGTTTTTGTAAGACACTTGCTGCCTTGTGGAGGAAAACTAAGTATGTTGTAATGTACACTGTGTCATAAATAAATACGTAAAGATTCAAATAAAGTCATTATACGGCATAATAATTACCCTACTATAGGAGAAAACTATTTCTGTTTTTAATAAAATTTTAAATTTCAAACTTCTAGCAGCAGCTTTTCAAGGAAAATGGTCTAATGTAAGATATGTAGTTCGAAAGGTGATAGTTCAAATGCCTACACGCGTGGAAAAGCACACACTGGTTGGCTCAGCAGATGATTCGTAACAATAAAATTTCATAATTCGGCAATTTTGTGTGTTCCATCGTGTCGATATCTATACCTTTCGATTTATCTTTTTGATACCTTATGATTTTTTGAAAAAAAGATGACTGTAAATTTTCAGTCCTCATAATTCAGAAAGTTTAAGCGATATCGAGCAACGGAACATCGATTTTTAAGTCATATATTGGATTCTACAAGACCACAAAATTCAAAAAAAATCCAAGACTATGCGTTCAAAAATGTGATCACTTTGCGTGAAATGGTCCTCAATTATGTTAAGAAATTGTCTAAAGGAAAAAGTATTAAACTGGTGAAACATTAAAGGGTATAGTAGGATAAGATGGTCAAAAGTGCCCTTGAGCCGAATTTGCTTCGCAATGCACCATTCGATAGCATATCCCAAAAAACCATGGTACACCAAGTTTCAACCCTGTACCTCAACCGGGAGGGTAGTGACAGGGTAAGAAAGAAAAAGTAGTTTTTGCCATATTTCTCCTATTTAACATTATGCAAATAATCTGCATAAATTCTAAAATATTCTAGACATGTTCCTTTATGATTGTGAATTTTTTCAGATTTTTCGGTTGCAAATTCTAGGCGTAAAAAAATCAAAAACGCAAGAAAAAGTCGAAAAATTGAGATTTCGGGTAGAAACTTTCGAGACACTAGATTTTTACTTTCACAATAGTTAGATATTAGCATGATTGGTGTCCTAAATTTTTTTCAGATTTTTCATTCTGGTGCGTCAAACCGAAAAAAATCAAAAACTGATATTTTCGACATATTTCATGCGATATCATGAGAAATACTTCCAATTTTTACATTTCCTTTACACACTTAGTGCATTATGTGATTTCTAACATTTCTGCACTGGTTAGAGCAAGATCCGAATAGAGGAAGTTAAGTTATTATAAATAATTGAAAATGTATATGCACCTTGTATTCAGAAATATTGAAGAGTTTTTCAACAGCAGCGATAGCCGAACGGTTAAGGTGTCGGAAGTCTCAAGCGAACCTCCGACCGAGAAGGTCGTACAACTCGTAAAGGGCAGAGAGCAGGTCAGAAGTTCTGACCGCTACAGCGACGGGCTGGGCCAGTTTGAGTTTAACGAAAAATTCCTTTTTTTTCGTAAAGTGTTCGCGATATCTCGACAAAGAAGCGCGACCGCATAAAAATTAGCGAAAGTGAGTGTTTAGTGAGGGGGGCCATCCCCCCCGCCACAGATCATGGAGAAAAACCGACGGTGACAAACGTGTCGACAACCGATGGAGCGAAAAAAGCGGCAGTGCACCTCAATTTCGAGGAAATAATTAAGCTAGTCAACGACGGAAACTTCAGCAAACGGGAAGCTCCTGCTGACACAGCAAAAATAACAAAACTAATTCACGACAAGATTATCAAAAAACCAAGAACAGGACCTAAACCCTCCATCCCGTTAAGAAGCAAAAGCGGAGAACCAACCGATAAAGTGAAGGCAAAAAAGTCAGTACAATCTGGAAAACAGAGCCCCTGCGGCCCGACTAATCGAAACGAGGATCAAATTGCAGAGCTACAAAAAACTATAGCTCTGCTCAATGCAACAATAGCAAAAATCGCCAAGGAATTGGAAGAAGAAAGGATAAAGAACGCAGCACTAGCGGGGAAAACTCAAGATAACACAATGGAAGCGGAACCCTTCCCCCCTGCTACTCCTAGCGGCAGCCGCGGTCAAAACGCCCTGCAAGGGGTAAAAGCGGAATCAATCAAAGCAAAACGGCCACGCTCGGTCGCAAGCAGCGAGGAAACCGACACATGCGGCTCACCAGGGCCGAGCAAACCGAGACCCAGTATAGGGTTCCCAAAGCCAGACACCCCGAGCGGATGGTCAACAGAAGCACGAGCCATGGACACGCAAAACAACCCCACGGCGGGAAGGAGTGCGGACATCCCACCACCAGCGGCAACCCAGGCCAAAGCGGTATTAGGCAGACCCCCAACCATAATAGTAGAAGGTACACAACAGCAGGTACCTTACCGTATATTAAAGGACACTCTAGGTTTTAGTAATTTTAAGATTAAGCGTATATCGGACAAAAAACAACACGTGCAATTAGAAAAATTAAGCGAGTATAGCAAAACAATAGAGTTCTTTAGACAGAGAATCATAAAATTCTATACATATACGCCGAAGGCCCTCAAACCACAAAACGTTCTATTAAAACGCCTCGACCCGAGTTTCTCCCCAGAGGAAATCCAAAACGAGCTGGTGCAGATGAACCTAAAAAATGTTCAAATAACAAAAATCGCAAACTTTATTACCGCGAAATCAAAACGGGATAATAGGCAGCTGCTCTTCTTCCGTGCAGATTTCGCCAGAATTCGACCTAAGCGCGGTCATAAAAGTTAAAATACTCATGCACCAGGTCATCTCATGGGAGAGACTCATTAAACGAGACCCAACCACATGCATGCGCTGCCAACGGGCAGAACACACCGCAGGTAACTGCAATCTAGAATACCGCTGCGTAAAGTGTACCGACAACCACGAACCCGGTCAATGCAAACTAAAAAAAGACGAAAAAGTAGACCCGGCCACCTATTCTGCGTCAGGTGCAAGAGCCACGGTCACCCAGCCTCGTATAAGGGGTGCCCCAAATATAAAGAGTTCATAGCACGCGTTAGGGAAATAGCGGTCAAAAAAGGGGAAACAGTAACCTTAAGGCAAAATCGAGCAAGGGACAGAATCGCGAACAGCGGGCTAAAGGCCAACGTAAGTTACGCGAACGCCACCAAAACAAAGCCTAGTTTACAGCCGAGTACGGACAAAATAAGCGCGAACCTAACCATATCACAAAGCCCAAGTAGCGCACTAGTCACCTCACAGCAACACCACACGTACCCTCCCCTAGATGTCCTATTCAATGACCTCAAAACATTCATGATGGCACAAATCAACAGAGTTGAGAATAGAATAGATGCAAACGCCCAAAGAATAGAGGACCTGCACCATGCCTACTTCTACCAC